GGGGGGGGAGGGAGGAATCCATAAGGGGATCTAGTGTTCGAACTGGGGTAGATCTGAGCTAGAGAGGTCTGGAAAAAGTTATAAAGAGGTCTTTTTGCTTATTTTTTTTTAACCCTAGAAAAATCCGCAACCGTTACAGCCTCTGCCATTCGGGGTGTGAGTACTCTATGCGCATAGTATAAATCCCCCACTGTGTAATAGCCTTCAAACCACACAAGGCAAGCCATGTGCGACAGGCTCGACCAAGAAGGCATTGAGGGGGATCAATCCTGATGGATATAAATTATTCATGTAATTTCATATGTAAAAAAATAAGCTTTTAAAATAAAATATGAATAATGATATCCTATCCTTGCATATTTTCTAACAAATCTTGTAGGAAAAAAGAAATTATGAAAAGAAGAAAAGAGGCTAAAAGACAAGAGAATGAAGCAATGCCACAGTTGCACACATCATCTTCATATTCGCAAATGTCGAATATACATATGGGCTTATGGAAAAAGATAATTAGAGATGAAAAGGAGCATAGTTGCATATGTGGAATCTATATACGCAAGGTCACATTCGCATACATGGATTTTACATTCGCAAAAGTGGAACATGACAAAATCTAATCATATTTTCCTATAAATAGCAAGCTCTCTGTGTATAAGGAGATCCAATCTTTGTAAGACAAGAACTAGTCTTGGTCTTCTTTTCTTGTAGTAAAAATACTTTCTTAGTCTTTTAAATATTCTAGTCATCTAAATATCTTTTTTAGCTTTTCTTACTCCATAACGGAGTAATCTCTTTTCGTTGGGATAGTTGATGAACCTTGATATATTTTATAATACTATCTCAGTTTTTATATATTCATGGCTTGAAACTTTTTATTTTTATTTCATAATGTGCTGGAATAATGGTTTTTAATTACTCTATTATCACGTCTACATATGTGATCTCTAAGTTATTCTTATATTAATTTTATAATTCTCATGGAGCAAAATTAATACATAATAACTAATGAATAAAATAGTAGAGTGGGAATAATTGTTTAGTAAACTATTATTTCAAGTCGGTAATCTTGTTGCCTCAGTTTAATTCTCACGGAGGAATTGTTGTAGGCAAGATTATTGATCCTTAGTAAAAACATTCTCACGAAGTTTTTACTTTCTTTTAGCACAATTCAAGCAAGAAAACTATTTCGGTTTAAAAGTCACTAGTCTTAAGTTGATTAATTAACATAATTCTCACGGAGTGTCATTAATTAGTAATTTCTTAGTGAGCAAAATATAACTGTATTAGAAATAAGCAATTATTCTTTAAATAAATAAATGTAGAAATTAAGATTTTATTATAGTAATATTATCAAGTGAATTCAATGATTCCCAACTCTTTTTTAAATTACAAATCTTCCAAAAGCTATTTGTTTTGTTTAAGTAATTAACAAGTTTTAAACCTCAATCACTTTTCATCAATTTGATTCTCTTGAATAGTAGTTAGAATATTACAAGTCGCTAGCATAGATTTTTCAATCTCTGTGAGACGATAAACTATACTAGAATTTGACAGAAAAGGAGCAGGAAATTCCAATACACATTCGCCTCGTCAGATCCCAGGACATCTATATGGATGACCGCCCTCTGTAACGATCCGACCGGTCGTTTTACTTTATAAATTTCCGTTCCCATAATTAAGACTCCCCGTATATGCTTTTATTATTTTATGACTTGCAGGGATGGTTAGTTCGGGTTTGTAAGGGTTCAGGTTAAAATCAGAACACTTAGTTCCTTAATAATGGCTTAAAATGGTTAAGTTTGACTTGAGTCAACGTTTTGAGTAAACGACATCTGAACCGGAATTTGATGGACCCAATAGGTCTGTATGATTATTTTGGACTTGGGGATATGCTCAGATTGGGTTTCGGATGACCCGGAAGCGTTTCGGCGCTTAGTAGTGAAAGTTGGCGCATTGAAGGTTTTCAAGTTCATTAAATTTGATTTGAAGTAGATTTTGGTGATATCGATTTCCGTTTGGGATTTTGAGCTTGGAAATAGTTCTGTATGGTGATTTGTGACTTGCACGCAAAATTAGGTGTTATTCCGAGCAGCTTAAGTGTGATTCAGTTAGTTTGGAGTAAGTTGGAAGAACTTGAAGTTCATAAGTTGATTCGATTTGGTTTGGGGTGCGATACTTAGTTTTGATGTTGTTTCATGCATTCCGAGGGTTCGAGCGAGCCTGTTTTATATTTACAAACTTGTTGGTATGTTTGGATGGGGCCTCGGGTGCTATTCGGACGATGTGCGAAACATGTTTGGACTTCGAATCATTGCTGAGGCAGCAGCAGTTATGGTGCGTTCGCACCTGCGATAAACTAGCCGCAGGTGCGAGCTCGTAGGTGCGAGCCAACGAGCGCAAGAGTGGCTAAGAGTGGACTGGCCAGTGTCCGCAAAAGCGTACTTGCTTCCAGCGATGGGGGGATCGCAGATACGGAGGGAGGCAGCATGGCCTGGATCGCAAGTCCGCGAGGCGAGCCGCAGAAGCGGGCTCGCAGATGCGGAATTTTTCTACAGGCGCGAACGCGGTCCGCTAATGTGAAATCGCTGGAGGCAGTGAGGTCCATTTAATTTGGACTTAGGCTCTTTTTCCCCCATTTTCATCTAGAGAAGTCGACTTTAGAGCTCTTGGAGAGGGGTTTTTCGCCTATCATCATGAGGTAAGTAATTACCACTTAATGTGAGTTTAATACATGGATTTTGGGTAGATTCATAACATGGAAACTGTAGAAATCATGGGTTTAGTTGAAAAATTTAGATTTTGATGAAAATGGGATTAGGCCACGAAAATAACTATTGAATTGGGAAGAAATTATATGTTTGAGTTTTGTGGTTATAGGTAACATTTATCTTCAAAAATTTCTGGAATCCGGGCACGTGAGCCTAGGGATGAATTTTAAGAATCTTCCAATTTGGGTTGGGAAATCACTCTAATAGTTAAATTATGAACTTTTGAGCATGTATTGGTTAATTTATATAATATTTGGCTAGTTTCGGATTGTTCGGCACCAACTTGAGGCTTTAGAGTGAATTTGTGGAACAAAAAGTGAGCTTTGGGACGAGGTAAGTCTCTTGCCTAACCTTGTAAGAGCGAATTCACCCCATAGGTAATTTTAATTGCTATTTGCTTCTAATTGTGGGTTCTATGTACGAACGAAGTGATGAGAGTCTGTGTGTAGCTACAAATCGTTCTTATGTCCGGGTAGTTTTAAAACTCTATCATGAAATACTTATATTGTTTGCACTCTACTTGTTAATTTAAGTGCTTAATTTATGTTGAAACTTGTTAAAGGATTCGTAAAGACCGAACTTCACTTATTTTGAGTTTTGCGAATTTCTTGGCCATTGATAGAAATTGTGTTTCCTTATGAATTAGTCTTGTGATAGCCTCTAAATCAGATGTCTATAGTGTATTCTCTCTTCTTGTGGAGCAGGCCGAATGCCTCGGCAGTACAATAGATGCATCTATGGTTCGTGCCAGTCGACCCTCGTAAGTGTATTACTATTCTGGATCCGGCCGTATGACCTCAACATAAATCGTGTGTGATAATGTTCGGAGTCCGATCACACTTGATATTATTTTTATGACTTGAGAAATTATAGTTTACTTAATGGCCCATAATTGTTGAAGTTAGTATGTGTTAGTGGATATTTTAGATTGACTTTTCATTAAAGAATCACTTATTTATTATTGTTATTGAGTTATTATAATTATTACTGATGTATTCCATGCTTATTGGAAAAAAATTGTATTTATTTATTGGCCCATAGTAAGTGTCGATGTCGACCCCTCGTCACTACTTCTTCGAGGTTAGACTCGATACTTACTGGGTACATGATGTTTCTGTACTCACGCTACACTTCTGCACTAATTGTGCAGGATTTGAGGCAGGTGCATCTGGTAGTCATTCAGGCGTGCACCCCCGATACCCTGAGGCATGGTGGTGAGCTGCTCTCTGAGTCCGTTCTGTAGCACCCGCAGTATCTCTTTTGTATTTACATTCCATCTATCTTATTTTGGACAATAGCATTGGTGTTCGGTATATTCTACTAGATGCTCATACACTTGTGACACCTGATTTTGGGAATATTTTAGTAGACACTTTATATGTTTGAGTATTTATTTTACTGCATTTGCTCCTTCACTAGTTTACGCTTTACTTTACTATAATTTTCCACTTTTCATCTTCTTAATAAATAAAAATCAATGACATTGAAATTAATAAAAAAACAAATACATGTCTAGTTCACTATTGGCTTGCCTAGCAATGACTTTGGGTGCCATCACGGCCTATAGGAGAATTCGGGTCGTGACAACTTGGTATCAGAGCACTAGGTTCACGTAGGTCTCACAAGTCATGAGCAGGTCTATTAGAGTCTTGCGGATCGGTGCGGAGACGTCTATACTTACTTCGAGGGGCTATAGGGTGTTAGGAAAATTTCTCCTTCTTTGTCTCCTATTGTGCAGTTAATGCTGTGCTAAGTATCTTTCTCTTATTCTGTCATGGATGGTGAGAATGCGCATGGAAAATGTACTAGAC